ACTGTGCCCAGTGCCACCACTCACTCACTGGTGTCACAATAGCTTGCATTTAAAAACAAAAAACTTTTTTCACCGTTATAGATTGAATAGCAGTTAGTTGTCTCAAAGCGGGTGTGTCAGGCTCACAGTGGATACTGTGCCCAGTGCCACCACTCACTCACTGGTGTCACAATAGCTTGCATTTAAAAACAAAAAACTTTTTTCACTGTTATAGATTGAATAGCAGTCAGTGTCCTTAAAGCGGTGTGTTAAGCTCACAGTGGATACGGTGCCCAGTGCCACCACTAACTGGTGTCACAATAGCTTGCATTTAAAAACAAAAAACTTTTTTCACTGTTATAGATTGAATAGCAGTCAGTGTCCTTAAAGCGGGTGTATTACGCTAACAGTGGATACGGTGCCCAGTGCCACCACTCACTGGTGTCACAATAGCTTGCATTTAAAAACAAAAAACTTTTTTCACTGTTATAGATTGAATAGCAGTCAGTGTCCTTAAAGCGGGTGTGTCAGGCTCACAGTGGATAAGGTGCCCAGTGCCACCACTCACTCACTGGTGTCACAATAGCTTGCATTTAAAACCAAAAAACTTTTTTCACTGTTATAGATTGAATAGCAGTCAGTGTCTCAAAGCGGGTGTATCAGGCTCACAGTGGATACTGTGCCCAGTGCCACCACTCACTCACTGGTGTCACAATAGCGTGCATTTAAAAAACAAAAACTTTTTTCACTGTTATAGATTGGAATAGTAGTTAGTTGTCTCAAAGCGGGTGTGTCAGCCCTACAGCGTGTTACCTGCCAGTTTACAGTGCCACTCATATCTGGTGTCACAATAGCTTGCATTTAAAAACAAAAAACTTTTTTCACTGTTATAGATTGAATAGCAGTTGGTTGTCTGCCAGCCGGTGTGTCAGGCTCACAGTTGATACTGTGCCCAGTGCCACCACTCACTCACTGGTACCTGGACGAAATTTATTTTCACAAAAGGCAATCCCCAACCTGTACTCGATTGTGCAAAAGGAAATAATGGCATGTCTGGCACACAGTGTTGGGGCAAGGGTCCATCTGATCACTGATACCTGGTCTGTAAAGCATGGTCAGGGCAGGTATATCACCTACACTGCGCATTGGGTAAACCTGCTGACTGCTGCCAAGCATGGAATGCATGGCTCTGCAGAGGAGTTGGTGACACCGCCACGACTTGCAGGCAGTCCTGCTGCCACCTCCTCTACTCCTCCTACTCCATCCTCTTCCATAACCTCCTCGGCTGAGTCCTCTTCTGCTGCTGCGTCTTGCTCCACATCAACGGATAGGGGATGTAACAGGGATTAAACTGATAAAAATAGTACTAAACACACCACTCCTATCTGGTGGCACATTAGATTGCATGCGCAGTGCCCCAAATTTGTTGTGATCTGTGAGTAAGGTAAACGGTTGTCCATACAAGTAAGGTTGCAGCTTTTTGAGGGCCCACACCACCGCCAGGCACTCCTTTTCAATGGCAGTGTGTCTACTTCCCTGGGCAAAAGTTTCCGGCTTAGATAAGCCCCGGGTTGCTCGCCGCCATCTGCTCCGACTTGGCTCAGTACTGCCCCCAATCCAAACATAGAAGCGTCTGTATGGACGAGAAAGCGTTTAGTTGGATCAGGAGCAGAAAGTACAGATGATTTAATGAGCGCCGTCTTGAGCTGTTGGAAGGCCTGTTCACACTCTGGGGCCCATACTACTATCTTGGGGAGGTTTTTACGCGTTCCTATATGGCACTTACTGGGCTTTAAAGTCAGTCCGGACTCCCTAATCCGGTCTAGTACGGCTCCTATGTGGGTCAGGTGTTCGGGCCAGGAGCAGCTAAAAATGGCTATATCATCCAAGTAGGCGCAGGCATACTCCTGAAACCCATCCAGTAGCCGATCTACCATCCTCTGAAAGTTAGCCAGGGCATTCTTCATCCCGAATGGCATGACCTTAAACTGATACAGGCCAAACAAGGTGACAAATGCCGACTTGTGGATGGCGTCCTCGGCTAATGGAATTTGCCAGTACCCTTTGCACAGATCTATTGTGGTGAGGTACTGGCCTCTGGCCATTTTGTCTAGGAGCTCGTCTATCCGGGGCATAGGATAGGCGTCTGAGGTTGTTCACATGGAGCATGCGCTTTCCTCCCGTGCCTGTGACCGCACCGATCACAAAGGTGGTATCACAAACCTGCTCTACCACCTTATATGGGCCCTGCCAGGAAGCCTGCAGCTTGTCCTTGTGGACAGTGTCAATCCATATCTGCCAAGTGACCCTATGTAGGGGGAACAGTCTCTATTCTGCTCTGTGTCAGTGTGTATCATGGTCTCTGAGGACATGTGTCAATCCATATCTGCCAAGTGACCCGATGTAGGAGGAACAGTCCCTATTCTGCTCTGTGTCAGTGTGTATCAGGGATCCTTAGGACATGTGTCAATCCATATCTGCCAAGTGACCCGATGTAGGGGGAACAGTCCCTATTCTGCTCTGTGTCAGTGTGTATCAGGGATCCTTAGGACAGGTGTCAATCCATATTTGCCAAGTGACCCTATGTAGGGGGACCAGTCTCTATTCTGCTCTGTGTCCGTGTGCATCAGGGACTCTGAGGACAGGTGTCAATCCATATGTCAAGGTGTCAATATGTCATATGTCAGGTGTCAATCCATATTGATTGTGATTTAGGAATGTTAGGTGATTTCTGCCCTTTATGGATTAAAACCAGACTCTGTATCAACTGTGTAATTTTCCATGGGAGTTTTGCCATGGATCCCCCTCCGGCATGCCACAGTCCAGGTGTTAGTCCCCTTGAAACAACTTTTCAATCACTATTGTGGCCAGAAAGAGTCCCTGTGTGTTTTAAAATTCGCCTGCCCATTGAAGTCTATGGCGGTTCGCCCCGGTTCGCGAACATTTGCGGAAGTTCGCCGTTCGCGAACCGAAAATTTCATGTTCGCGACATCACTAATGGTGACATAACATCATATTAAAAGGTTACATATAATAGCACATTAATATGAAATTGCTTGCACATCCCTCACCACTTTCCATTATTGGTGCAGAGCAATTATATTGTTATAATTTCTGTTATGTGAATGAAATAATAGCAGTGTATTCCTCTTTACTTTTTTGCCTTGAATACAAAATCTATTATACTACAGTGTAGCACAGTCACAAGTGACTTCAGTGTCCTAGACAATTACACACCCTTCCTGTAATTTCCAACATAAGCTCTCCCACCCACCTTTACCTCAGAGAATTAAAAAATTATACAGCCTGCTAAACACCTTGTTAATATCCTCCTGATTGTGTATTTTTGGCTTTGCATTGTACGATCAGTCCTGGACTCATTCCCATGTGTGTCTCTCTTGCGTGCCAAGTTAAAATCTTTGAACTTTTGAATCCAATTGGTTTCTGATCTCTCAACATGTACCCTACGGGGGAATTGACATGAAATATGGGGAATGGACATGAAATGGTGGTGTACATGAAATATTGGGGGTAATGGATGCTGGAACCCACGCTACGTCGCTGTGTCCGGTGTGAAGAGGGGATCCGGGAGGGGCAATGAAGTGTACCTGAATTGCATTTTCGAAATGTGGTCACACTCAAGCCAAGGGGTTTTTAATCTCATCACTTTTCAGAAATATCAACGATTGTCAAACTCTACTTTTGTCCTTATAACGCGTTTTTTAACCCCTTAAGGACCAAACTTCTGGAATAAAAGGGAATCATGACATGTTACACGTCATGTGTCCTTAAAGGACCACTATAGTGCCAGGAAAACCACCCTCAGGGTCCCACTCCAGCCAGGCTGGATGGCAAGGAAAGGGGTTAAACTTACCTTTTTTCCAGCGCTGGGTGGGGAGCTCTCCTCCTCCCCTTCGGCTGAATGCACATGCGCGGCAGGAGCTGCGCACGCATTCAGACAGTCTCATAGGAAAGCATTCATAATGCTTTCCTATGGACGCTGGCATCTTCTCACTGTGATTTTCACAGTGAGAATCACGCAAACGCCTCTAGCGGCTGTCAATGAGAGAGCCACTAGAGGCAGGATTAACCCATTTAAAAAAAGAAGGACCTGGCACCCACACCACTTCATTAAAGGACCACTCTAGGCACCCAGACCACTTCAGCTTAATGAAGTGGTCTGCGTGCCTGGTCCTTCTAGGGTTAACCCATTTTTTCATAAACATAGTTTCAGAGATGTTTATGAATGGGTTAAGCCTTCCCCTATTTCCTCTAGTGGCTGTCTCATTGACAGCCACACGCCAGCGTCCATAGGAAAGCATTGAGAATGCTTTCCTATGTGACCGGATGAATGCGCGCGCAGCTCTTGCCGCGCGTGCGCATTCAGCCGACGGGGAGGAGAAGAGGAGGATCGGAGGAGGAGAGCTCTCCGCCCAGCGCTGGAAAAAGGTAAGTTTTTACCTCTTTCCCCCTTCCAGAGCCGGGCGGGAGGGGGTCCCTGAGGGTGGGGGCACCCTCAGGGCACTATAGTGCCAGGAAAACGAGTATGTTTTCCTGGCACTATAGTGGTCCTTTAAGTTGAAGTGGTCTGGGTGCCTAGAGTGGTCCTTTAAGGGGTTAAAGTGATCACATTTTAGAACTATACAATCTGCTTCTATCGGAAACATCTCCCTCCTAGTTGAATAGCTACAAAACCCATACTGGCGGCAGTGAGGGAGTACGTGCTCTAAGCACCTGTTTATTACATATGAAGTGTACTCATTTGTTGAATTCTAAACATTCCAAATCCTGTAAACTGCATACATAACAAAGGCAAGACATTCTAACAAACCATTTCTACACTAGAGGACGACACAACACCTATTCATTGCCTCCATTAACAACTCCTCCTCTTAAATCTGTAACTGAGGCCTCACAAAGCACTACCGGGACATGTCTGACAACTTCCTTCCCCATTGCGCATGCGTCGTGGTACAGCTGCGCTGTCATTGGTTCCGTTCGACTGACGGGCAGCTGAGCATGCCGGGAGTTGTAGTTCGGGTATGTGGATTCATGCTTGGCTTCGTTTCCCACTGATTCATAGTGTTGAGGAAGAAGAAAGTCGCTTCTTGTAGTAGAACAATTTGATATTTTATTATAAAGGTGAGTAATGAGCATCTGGTATACTTTTCTGAAGGTCCCATGTTACTTTGTTAAGGTTAGTGGCTTGTTTTAGATACATGGAGGGACTATATTATTTGAATACATGCAGATTTAGTCGTGTTTTTGTGATTTATTTATTTTTTCTCACTTTCATTAATGGGAGAACTGATTTCAGATAGTAATTGTCTGCATGTTGTGTTCCTAAACAAACTGTGTTTTACATGTAGACTCTTATTTGGCAATGGAGGCTCCCCCAGTCACCACCATGCCTGTGTCCGGAGGGACGATCAATATGATGGAGTATTTACTGCAAGGTAAGATCAGTATAACTTACAGACATAACCACAGATAAACTGTGCTCTGTTGATCAATAACATTGCTTATTTTGCAATATGTACATTTAGCAACAAATCATATCGTTTTATACTCCGTGCATCCATACAGATTTTATACTGCAGTGTTTCATTATAGGACCATTAAAAGAACCCAAGCCACTATCATCTCAATGAACTGGCCTTGGTGCAGTGGTCCTTTTTGTTTGCACCCTGCAATGTAACACACTGCTGTTTAATGGAAACGGCAATGCTTACATTGCAGAATTAAATACACCTCTGGTAGCTGTCTTATTTTGATAGCCACTAGAGCCACCTCTGCTGTGAGAATGGAGTCAAACTCTGTCCTGCTGATGCAACTAGTGAGGCTCCTAAGCACCATAACTACCATGCTCATTATAGTGGCTATGGTGCTGTGTCTACGCTGGTGCTGATAACCATTTGTTTTAAAGCATTTTACAATATTTGGGACTCTTTTTTGTTACTTTTTTTTGTGTTTCAAACACAAAAAAGGGTTCAATGTACAGTCATGTATTGTAGCATACATTATGAGTGTACATAAACATAGCCGAACAAAGTAGAACACAGAAAAGTGGGTACTCTGAGTTTGACAGCTGTAGCAATTATCAGTTCAAAATAAACCCTAGTCCATATAATACATGTTGCTATCTTCTGTTACTACCAATACAATTAAATAGAAGGCAATGTTCCACATCTTAAAATGGGCCATATATTTCTCCCTGTAGAAGTAAGCACAGGATCCCATATTTTACGAAATATTGCTAATGTGCTATGTACTGTGTAAGACACGTACTCCATTTAACAGTTGTACCAGATAATATTTTTAATGTGTGCTAACGTTGGAAGGGTATCATTTTACAATTTCTAGCTATAAAGGTCATAAGTGCTTAGAAGAAAAAAAAGTAGAGGATAATTTTTGGTGTGACCGTAAAATTAGATTTGGGAACATGCTTAAGAGAGCCACTTTCAAAGTTAAAGGAATAAGAATTGAGAGAAAGGCTTTAATAAAATCAAAACGTTCTCTCTAAATTAGGACTATACAAGGTCATAACCACCAAATGTGGGATAGAGATCTCGCTCCACTACACTTGTGCGAGCATGCTGAAGAATCACAGGATACACACATGGCTCAAACAGACCGGTGTTAAATACCAACAAAATAATATTTTGTAAATTTGTTCTACATGATTTGTACAAAAGAAATGTTACTATAAATTACAGAATACTATTCCAATCTTCATCAGAAAATTATTTAACCAATTTTGTCCCCACCTAAGACTACAATGTTTTGGGAGGTGTTTGTTTTTCTGCTTTTCCTTTTTTTTTCTCTTCCAGGAAGCCTTTAACCATACTAAAACTTCACAATTGCTGAAATTAGCCTTAAAGTTTTATTGTTTTTTTTTTTTAAATTTTGTTGTTGTACACTTATGTAATTTGTTTATGTATTTTTAGGTAGTATTCTTGATCAGGGTCTAGAAAGCCTTCTTCACCGATTACGTGGCTTATGTGATAACATGGAGCCAGAAACCTTCTCTGACCATGAAAGTGTGTACCTCCTCAAGGGCCAACAGGCCAGCCCATTTGTTCTACGTGCACGTCGACCTCTTGACCGTCCAGGGGCTCCATGGCATCTCCGCTACTTAGGACAACCTGAAGCAGGAGATCGAAGTCGTCATGCCCTTGTTCGGAATTGTGTTGATATTGCCACCTCTGATGTTCTTCCAGAATTCCTTCAGGAGATGGGTTTTCGGATGGACCATGAGTTTGTGGCAAGGGGCCACTTGTTTCGGAAAGGGGTTATAAAGATTGCAGTCTACAAAGTTTTCCGTGTACTAGTGGCAGGAGCAGCAGAAGGAGCCGAACCATTATCTCTCTCTTACCTGGTTGAGCTTAGTGCTGTGGCACCAGCTGGACAGGACACAATAGCAGATGAAGTTAGGAGTTTTGCAGAGCAGCTCAGGCCTCTCGTGCAACTTGAGAAGATTGACCCTAAACGCTTAATGTGAAGAGGACAGTATAAGAGTGTACAGGACGCTGCCATTGAGTTGAAAAGACTACATTGTAGCTTATTTTGTATCCAGTGGCAGGGTTAAACTGACAAGCAGGAAAGAGGTCATAATGCCTAACTTTTCCACTGTCTGTATCTGTGTCACAGGTGGGTTTTCAAGTCAGCACTCAATGAAGAACCTTATCAGATAATAGGCAAGTGCCATTTTTCTCTGGACATTTGTATTAAATACACATTTTAATAATACATGCTCTGGGTCTCCTATTTAAAGTGTGTTTTGGTTTGGTTTATTCTGTAAATATATGCAATAACTAGAACATTCAGCTCATTATTAATTTCAACCATGTATGAGGGTTGATAGCTGCATAGATGCACTGCTTCTCAATCTCCATGTAGCCGAACATCAGAATGCATTCCTTTTATGAAAACACCCATACTTATGATGTTTATCAGTGGTGAATGATAAGCATCACAAATATACAGAGATGCCTGTCCTCATTTTTACATTTATTCACATTTCTAGATATAGTTACATAGCTGAAAAGAGACTTGCATCCGTCAAGCTCAGCCTTCCTCACATTTGTTTTTTTGCTGTTGATCCAAAAGAAGGCACAAAAAACCTCCAGTTTGAAGCACTTCCAATTTTGCAACAAACTAGGGAAAAAAATCCTTCCTGACCCCAGAATGGCAGTCAGATTTATCCTTTGATCAAGCAGCTATTACCCTACATTGAAAAATTATATCCTTGAATATTCTGTTTTTGCCAGTATGCATCTAGTTGCTGTTTGAAAATCTGTATGGACTCTGATAAAAACACTTCTTCAGGCAGAGAATTCAACAACCTTATTGTTCTTACAGTAAAAAAAACCTTTTCTTTGCCTTAGGCAAAATCTTCTTTCTTCCACTCTAAACGCATGACTTCGTGTCCTATGTAAAGTCCGGTTTGTGAATAGATTTCCACACAATGGTTTGTATTGACCCCGAATATATTTGTATAATGTTATCACATCCCCTCTCAGGTGATTTTGTTAACCTTTCTTCATAGTTGATATGTTCCATTCCTTTTATTAATTTTGTTACCCGCCTCTGCACTTTTTCCAGTGCCATAATATCCTTCTTTAAAACAGGTGCCCAAAATTGCACAGCATATTCAATGTGGTCTTACCAGTGATTTATAAAGAGGCAAAATGATATTCTCTTCCCGAGAATAAATGCCCTTTTTTCATGCATAACAATACCTTAATGGCCTTAGCCACTGCTGATTGATATTGCACATTGATGCATAGTTTGTTGTCTATAACAATTCCCAAATCCTTCTCGTGGGTTGTTATCCCTAAATCGCTTCCATTAAGGGTATATGTTGCTTGTGCATTCTTTACGCTGAAGTGCATAACTTTGCATTTTTTCAAAGTTTGAGTGCCCAGTCCCCCAGTCTATCTAAATCCCTATGCAGCAAAGTGATATCTTGCTCACATTGTATTACTTTACAGAGTTTGGTGTCATCTGCAAACACTGAAACATGACTTTAAATGCTTTTTTTCAAGATAATTTATAAACATGTTAAATGGAAGAGGTCCCAGAACAGAACCCTGAGGGACACCACTTGCCACCTCTGTCCATCTTGAAAATTTACCATTAATAACAACTCTTTGTACTCTATTTTTAAGCCAATATTCTACCCAAGAACAAGCATTTTTATCTAGACCGATTTTCAGAGTTTGAACACTAATCTATTGTGTGGAACTGTATCAAATGCCTTGGCAAAATCCAAATAGATCACATCCACTGCAACACCCCGATATATACTTCTACCTACGTCTTCGTAGAATGCAATTAGGTTAGTTTGACATGACCTGTGCTTCATAAAACCATGCAGATTTTTGCTGCTAACTATGTTCTTCTCAAGGAATTCTTGAATATTATCCCTTAATAACCTCTCAAATACTCTTCCAGCCACAGAAGTTAAGCTCACAGGTCTATAATTTCCAGGCAAAGATTTTGAACCCTTTTTGAATATAGAAACCACATCTGCCTTCCTCCAATCCTCCGGAACACTTCCTGAAAGAAAAGAATCTTGAAAGATTAAAAACAGAGGTTCACTTATTTCTACACTTTAGTTCCTTAAGTACTCGTGGATGGATACCGTCAGGCCCTGGAGCTTTGTTTATATTAACTTTCTTTAGTTGCTGCAGCACCTTGTCTTGAGTTAACCAATTACAATATTTCTACAAGTTTTTAGCAGCAATCATTTGCACATCTATTTCCATGGGTTCTTCATATATATATATATATATATATATATATACATACAGAGGAGAAATAGTTATTTAAAATTCCTGCCTTTTCCTGGTCTTCATTAACTAACACCCTAATTCCAGTTTTTACTGTACCTACACTTTCATTTTAAAAAATTTTTTTTTTTTCTTTTTGAGAATTTATGTACTTAACCCCTTAAGGACCAAACTTCTGGAATAAATGGGAATCATGACATGTCACACACGTCATGTGTCCTTAACGGGTTAAAGAATGCTTTGTGGTTGGTTTTGCTGTCTTTGGCTAACATTTATTTCATTTTGAAGTTTAGCAAATCTAATCACCTTTTTGCATGCATTATTGGTTTCCTTATATCTTTTATAGGAGGCATCTGATTTGTCCGATTTAAATGCCCTTTTCTTATTTTTAATCTCTTGTTTTACTTCTTTACTAAGCCACATTGGTTTCAATTTGTTTCTTTCATATGTATTACCCAATGGTACATACTGAGAAATGTACCTTTCTAATATTTGTTGGAAGATGATCCATTTATCCTCAGTATTCTTTTCACTATAAAGAGTTTATGCCAGTCAATATATTGTAAAGCTGCCCTTAACTTATAGAAATTGGCCTTTTTTTAAAATATATGTTTTAGTATACCACATGTGCTTTTGTTTTTTTGAGTTACTTACAAAGGACACTATATTGTGATCACTATTTTCCAAGTGCTCAACTACTTGAATGTTGGTCAAAAGATTAATGTTGTTAGTTAGAACCAGGTCCAGACAAGCATCCTTTCTAGTTGGTGCTTGTACAAGTTGTGACATGGTGTCATTTAACAAGTTTTTAAAAACCTAATTCCTTTTGCTGAGCTACTAGTCCCTCTGTCCCAAATTATGTCCAGGTAATTAAAATTACCAATAATTAAATTTGCAACTTTCTCAATTTGCTCAAACGGCTGTTGTTCCTTGTCAATATTAACATTAGGTGGTTTATAACATATCCCAACCAATGGTTGATTTCCCTTCTTTTGCCCCAAGCAGATATTTACCCATAAAGCTTCCACATTATCCTGATCACATTCCACTTGCTTAAGATTTGGCTTTAACTCATGGTTGACATACAACCCCACCACACTTCTTGTTTTTCCTATCTTTCCTAAATAACATGTACCTATTTAAGTTAACTGCCCAGTCGTGTGTCTCATCCCACCATGTTTCAGTTATTCTTATGTCATATAGTTTAGTGTATGCTATTGCCTCTAGTTCCCCCATTTTGTTATTTAGGCTCCTTGCATTAGTAAGTATACATTTAATATGATGAGTCACTTGTACTTTTTGTGAATTATCAGCATTACATACCGCTGTTCTGAGCTTGCTCCTCCCCCGTCTCCACCCCCCATATACTGAGCTAAAGTCCATCTCCTTTCTGTCCCATCTCCATTTTGTAGATTGCTATCACCCTCCCTCCCCACTACTACTACTAGTTTAAAATCTGCTCCAACCTCCTAGCCATCCTATCCCCCAGCACTGCAGACCGTCTCCCTTTTAGGTGCAACCCATCACAGCTAGAAAGGTTGTACCCAAGCGCAAAGTTGGCCCAGTGCTCTAAAAACCCCAAACCCTCCTTCCTGCACCAAGACTTCAGCCACGCATTGACATCTTTAATCTCCCGCTGCCTTTCCACTGTAGAGTGTGGCACAGGTAATATCTCAGAGAATACCACCTTGGAGGTCCTTTTCTTAAGTTTGCTACCTAATTCTCTGAAATCATTCTTTAGGACCTTCCATCTTCCTCTTACTTTGTCATTGGTACCAACATGGACCATGATCGCAGGGTCATCCCCAGCCCCTCCCAATAATCCATCCACTCTGTCAGCAACATGCCTGTCCCGAGCACCCGGGAGACTGCAAACTGTCCGGTTGAGCCGATCAGAGCGGCAGATTGCCCTATCTACTCTCCTAATGGTAGAGTCCCCTACCACCACAAACTCTGCTCAGTGAGCAGCAGACTCCTCTCAAGCTTGTCGATCTCCCTCAATGTTGCAATTTGCTTCTCGAGATCTCCAATCTGAGCGTGTACATCCAGGCATGCATACATGCAACAAGATGTGCATTGAGTCAAACCACCAATCTTGCTAACACTCATTTCCCCCAGATACAGGACAGTAAAACAAATACCTTGTTAGTTTAAACCCCTTGTTTAACTCCTGGTTTTCTAACTCCTACTTGATAGTCTGCTTTCAAGCAATGTGAGCAAGCTCAGTGAGTTAGGGGTGTGCTTATATGGGAATACAAATCCCACACAGGTGGCAATTAATGAACACTCCCGCAATTAATCAAGCAGCAGCACAAAGGAGGGGAAAAAACAGAACACAGAAAAAAAAAAATATATATATATATATATATATTATTATTATTATTATTTTTTAATTGGCTATTAAATCAAATTAAACAAAAATAAAATACAAACCACTCTCCACATTTAGTCTTACAAATATTTTATATGGTGTATTTAAGTGACACTCGCATTTTGGGGTCACCAGACATCTGATCCCCGCCAGAGGCAAAAGTGAGTTAGGCTTGGAAGATCCAAAGCGCAGCAGATCAAAGTGCTCCCCCATGCTGTGTGAGAGCCTTCATCTCTATTGCCCTGACTCAGGAAACTAGAAGGGCCAAGTCCTTCCTCTGTCCCGGCTAAGCAGAGGGACCGGGTGGTGAGCGTCGTTTCTGGCGGGTGATCCTCCACATCCGTGGGTTATGTGTGGAGGTGATGCTTCTAGGGGCACTCGGCCTGGTAGACCAGCAGTAGGGGTAGGTAGATGCGTGTGCGAGAATACCTCTTGGAGGAGGTCTGCTCCGCTATGCCTCCCTTCATTTCCTCCTGTCACTTAGGTAAGGCTGCCAGTGAATGTTCCTGCAGTTTCACCCAGAAGCATTCAAAGACTGCATCCGGGCACAGCAAGGCAGATTCAACGATGCCATATTGAGGCTT